CATTATCACATAGAAATACTACTAATAATTTTTACATTAAAGTTGAATTTGGTATGAAAGTTTGAAATAAAAAGTTTAAACTTCATTTTCTCATCAACCAAAGCTCGTCTTGAAACAAAATTACAACTATTAGATTTCTTGCAATTACGAGATTTAAATAATGGTCTTTTATTATTTTATTAAGTTTTTATATTGCTTTTAGAAATGATTATCTTTATACAACATAAAAATTCATAATACTCACTATTATACTTGAACTATCACATTACACAGATGCCACACAGTAATTTTGAGACCACCATTCGAACCACATAGTCAAGAGGAATCCAATGGTGGTAAATTTGTCTCAATCTGACTTCTGGATGGCGAGAAAGTTAAGAAAATATTAAAATGTCATAATAAAATAACGCTGGTTAAGAGTGCGAATAGTACACAATACTAAATTAAAGCATTTATTGACACGGGAAGATGATCATATCAAATATTATTTAAATAATGAAATATATGTATTTTCTGTTCTTCTTTCAGAGAATAAAAAAAAATTTCACATTTTACTATAAATTACATTCGTGATATCGAAAAAACTGACCGCCATTCTTTTCACTGGGGACTGTAATTGGAAAATTGAATTTTTTGTTTTAAAAAATGAATATTCATATAAAGTTCATCTTTTAATTATTATTTTTGTATATATTTGTTAATATTAATAAATATAAGGAAATATTATCAAAATTTTTGAAAAGAAATCATATAAGTGGTTTTCTCTAATTTGTTAAAAACATATTAATAATACTTTATATTTTTTGATTACACATTCATCAACATATTTTTTTATAATCTTACCATGTCTTCTTCCATAACACCATTTATCTGCAAATGGACTGATACTCATTCTAAACCACTGTACTTTTACACTCAGAAGTCAGAAGGAACTTGAGCTTCACATCTACAATGAACACAAGGATTTGATTTGGCTAATTTAAGGTAGGTTTCCTAACTAGTATACTTGATAAGAGTCATTACTAGGTTTTATTTTCTGATCTGTTCTTATGCAATGTCCGTGGGAAAATTGTGAAAAGCAATGGAATGATATTCTCATTAAAAGGTATAAATAATATGCCAAGTACTTAAGTACTTTCTAATGCTGTGTAAATTGTAATTGATTTCTTACAGAACATTTGCATGAATACACTCAACAGATGATATTTAAGGTAGGCTCAAAGAATTGGTTTTGCCTGTTATTTATAAAATGGTCACATTGACTTTATTTCTTTCATGTTTAGTGCCCAATTTGCAATAGTTTTCGATTTGGATCTTTTGATAAACTAAAACAACACCTGATTTTTATCCATCATGACAGCATTGTATACTACGTGGTCACAGATGATATGATGAAACAGGAAAAAGGTACTCTTGCTTATACTTCATAAAAAACTGTTATTTCTTATTGAAACAAAAACTCTAATTATATCATGATACATGAATTATCTAAAGCTTGTTTTATCTTATCTCTTTATTTATCAAAAAAAAAAAAATAATCAAGGCGATACTTTTGAGGATGAAAATGAAGATTACGTTATATGTAAAGCGTTTGCTAAACATTGTGATCGGGAATTTATTGTAGGACAAAAATCATTTTATGGAATTGAAGATCTTGATCTTTAATTCTATTTCTATGATACGTTCCTAGTAAAAAATTTTCATTTATACTTAGAAAAGAATAAACATACAAATATTAATTCTACATGCAATAGTAGTTGCATTATAAATCTATTATTATCGAGAAATTAGCTTTTTATTTACATTTAGCAAAAAAATTATTATATATACTATTTTAAAAGGTGAAAAAATAATTAAAGATTTATTATTATATTATAATGTAATATAAAATAATTGTGTATCATTAATAATCTTAATATATTTTTCAAATCCCTGCTTGCATATTGGTGACATGTAAGCACTAGCTATATTCAAACGTTTGAGTGCAATGTTCCTTGGCAACTTTTTCCTCTTTTGAACTCTATGATTTTGAGCTAGTTTGTAAAAACCCATCGCAGATATTTCTATATCTGTTAATTCACCTAAATTTTGGCTTTTTCCTTTATCTCACACAGCTTGATCATTACTATTCAGTAAATCTTTGATATTATCAATACACTTATCATCAGGTTGGTCTTTGTTATATTCTAATAAAAGTCATGCATTCCATTCTGACAATATATCACATAGATCGTCTATAGCATCGCGGATTTCCTCATTAAACACATAGTCTTTGCAGTCCTTGTATTACCTGTAGATTAATATATTTAGAAATATTAGAGTCATGTAAAATATTAAAAGTTCTTCATATTGAATTGAGATATACTCACTTCTTTCAACTATACTATAATTATATTATTTGTAATCTTAACCTGTTTATTCCAGTCATCTTTTTGAATTCTGCCAAAAAATGTTTCATTTACTTTCAAAGAATAGAGGGCAACCTTGTCTCTTGGTTTGATACTTTCAGGTTCCACATTGTTCCAACATCCACCGATCCCGATCCTCTCAAGTATTTTATAATAAGTTATGTTGATGAGAGAGAGGTCTAAAATAATGGAGAGAAATAGAAGAGCTGATCCATTCAAAATCAGTAAAAATATGTGAACTGATTAAACTGAGTTCAAAAAGTTTTTACTAGGCTTTATTAATATAATATAACGGGTCATACCTTGATAGAATAATCGAAACTTTCATCATCAACTGTTTCGTATTAAAGTCTCATGCTGAATTCCTTGCTCATGATCTCACGATATGGAAGGATGTATGAAGTATAGTAAAAACGTATTCATTGCACATAGGATTCCAAGCTATCCACAACCAATGACCCGTAATGCTTCAAAATATTTTTCATACAATGCTCAAAGTATTTATCAGAGTCTTGAATTTCGTGGGTTTGTAAGGAAAAAATCGGGATGGTATCTTGCTAACATCCTTTTTCAAACTTCGGTATGTTGAAAAGGCTCTTCCTTTTCTCTTTACATTCCCTAGCAAAGTACACAAGGTCTATCTGGCATTCCATAAATACAAAGCTTTTCTTCAGCTAACTTGAGGAAAGCACGGCCATTAACCTCCCCCCTGTGAATTATTCTAAGTCATTCATAAGTCCTGTTCCCGAAAAAATTATCATGCTGCGTATTTTTCAGATCACGTTCCGGATGGTTTGGAGTACTGTAGGACTTGTGCCGTCATAAAGACGTTTGCCACCACAAGCTACAAAATAATCCTTTATTAAATTTGATAAAAATTATGATAATTCCCCAAGTTTCTTCATAATAAGATAAAATAATTAATAAAATAAAAAAATAAAAAAAAAATTCAAGAGAGAAATAATTTCGAAAAACAATTCCTATTAAATTTATAAATTCTATATTTAAACACTAAACACCAATTAGAATAATAATTTCCCTTTTTAGATCCCAAAGGAGAACCAATTAAAATAAAAAGAATATTTGATATAAATTATTCGTACTTTTCTACTACCCTTTGGTCACGATTATGTAGATCATTTCAAGGATATGCACGTCATCTATTACCCGATCCCTATAATAAATAATAACCCAATAAAAATTAAATTAATATCTAACCAATAAAATAAGCATCCTCAAATTGGCTATACTTGATCACTTAATCTCCTATAAATCCCATTCGATGATAGTTTAAGGTCACTCCGGACCACAGCAAATAAAAACAGAGAAAATTTTATACTAAATATAAATATAATACTGCGCCCTAAAATTAATAATGTCACTAGAGCTACAGTACTGGAGGAAAAAATACAGAGCCCGTGATTATACCATTTAGGTAATTGTATCGGTAGGTAATACTCTGTCGTCATCCATACTCCCAATCATCTGCTTCATCATAATTTGGTTTCATGTAGCGTATTTCTTGATTTATCGCTTATTGCAGTTGTAAATTTATAAACAGATATCCTTTACGAAAACATCCTTAAAATATTAATCATGATTTGTAAAGAGATATTACATATTAGGCATTGTCTACTATGCCGGTAAATATAAAGGCAATTCACTCACGAACTGTTTTTAGCCTGTCAAAACAAAATCTTTCCTATTTTTGTTTTTTTTTCACCTTAAATTTTTGTTATGCATTCGAAGTTGTTCTTCTCTTAATATATTTTCAATAATTAGCACATCACTAATTAAGTTTTCGTCAAATTCATAGTAGAAACGGGTTTAGAAGTATTAAGTATTAATTATTTGAAAAATGAGAATTTCCTTCAATTGATATCATTGAGTAGGCGCTTGTTTTGTAATTAAAAATATCATTTGCATAAAAAAAGTCGGCCGCACATCAACTAGAAATTTCGCTCTAAGTCATTTGCGCATTCGCACATAATTTGAATTTCGAACACTGTTTATTAGTAAGAAATTTTAAATGTAGATGACATACAGTATGACATTCTAATGTACTAATGTTAAACAAGAAGTTTTCCGTCGAAATTTGAAAAACAGTTCCTTATAAAATAATTTTAGAAAATATATCATATGTATATTTAAAACTAGAGAAAAAAGTCGTTTTTGCAGTTTTTACATGGATTCACGAAAATTATCGTTCGTAAGATATCTAAATTAATTTGTCATTAAAAGTTCTTTTATAAATGAGTCGTTTTTTTAAGAAAAACCATATAGGCGATGAATAATGTTAAAAAGTAAATACATTACTTTTTTTAAATGTTTCTTTGCAACAAATTATGTATTTTTTTTTATTTTTTATTTTTACATCAATTTTTGTACTCTAGGAATAATTCCATCGATCATCTCAGCCAAATTTAAACATAATTTCGGCAAAAATCGGAAATTTGAAACACACATATGCTGAAACACAGAAACGCCTATTTCTAATTGAGGGGTTTGATCAACGTTTCACACAATTACTAATAAATTTAAGATAATGGAATTTTACTTTACTTTCCCCAAAAATTATAAAACCGTGAGAAAATGACTTTTGAACACTCTCAAGAAGTTAGTAATGATTATGAAAAATTATTTGAAATTGAAAAAGGACATGACGTAATTATATGTGCTGGTGAAGATGAAAATATGAAAGAAATTCGGGCACATTCACTCATCCTATGTACTAGGTCTCAATATTTTTGTGCCGCATTCTATAATGATTGGGTCGAGAAGAAGAATGGAATTTTCATTTTTAACAAACCTAATATTTCTCCTCAATTATTCAAAATTATTTTAAGGTAATATAATGTCTGACTATTTTATTATATTAAATTCGGAAGAAATATTAAAGTTTTTCTTTTAATATTTAGGTTTATTTATTGTGGAAAAATTGATTTAACAAATTTTCGAGGACCCGAACTGTTAAAACTTTTAATGGCGGTAGATGAACTTAATATTCAAACATTGGTTACTTGTGTTCAAAAGCATTTAATAAATGATAAAGAATTCTTACAAGAGAATTTTATGGAGATTCTTCAAATGGTTTATCATAATGAATTATTCACAGGCTTATTGAATTATTGTCTTGAAGAAATTGATACGATATTTAATTCTGATAAAATTATTAATTTAGAAGCACCTTTATTGGAATTTCTTTTAAAACAAGATGATTTAAATTTAGATGAGATTGAAATTTGGGATGGTTTAATCAAATGGGGATTAGCACAAGAAAAACTCAATCGAGACACCTCTAAATGGAACAAGAATGATGTAATTATTTTTAAAAGAATTCTTTATAAATTTATTCCCTTAATTAGATTTTATGGAATTCCTTCTGAAGATTATATTAACAAAGTTAAACCCTATGAAGAGGTTTTATCTAAAGAATTGCGAGAAGAAATATCAAAATTTCACTTAGATCCTGAATATGAACCAACATCCAACCTTTTACCAAGACGTTTTATTGGATCTACTCTAATTAATCGAAAACACATTACACTTTTTATAAATTTTATTGACAGAAAAAATATTGACACCGATTATAATAAGAATCCTTATAAATTTAATCTTTTATATAGAGCAAGCAGAGATGGCAATACAGCTACATCATTTCATGCTAAATGTGATAATAAAGGAGCTACTATAGTTGTAGCAAAAATAAAAAATTCGGAACAAATAATTGGAGGATATAATCCACTTTTTTGGGATTCAAATAGTAGTGATAAATCAACAAATGATAGTTTTATATTTTCATTTTCAGATAAAAATAACCTTCGGAACGTACATGTAGCTTACAGTAATGGTAGTCAATATTCTGTACGAGGTTACTCACATTGTGGTCCATTATTTGGTTTAAATGATTTATATATAAATTATAATAATGATCCTAATAATTGGTACCATTTTGGATCAGGTTCTTATCCTACAATTAACATACCAAATCGTATAAATATAGGTGATTATGAGGTATTTCAAGTTATTAAAAGATAATCAGATTAAGTACTGTATTTACGTTACTAATGTATTTCGAGATATTTATAATAGATATAAATAAAACGAATATTTAAAAGTGAACCTAAATTTATTTATATAAATTTATAGATTTACAGTGAGTTTTCCATTATAAATAATGATTTCAGATTTTATATACTATGTAAATAAAATAACTTGAATTTATTATGCCTATTAATTGACCTTCAGTAGAAAGGGTGGGATAAATATTGTTCATGTACAAAAATAACACGCACGTTAAAAATAAAATTCGATTTTTAATTATTCACGTGTAATATATTTTGGCTTCCCGTGAATGAAGATCACTCATGTAATCATGTTGATCTAACTCATTTTTTGATCGAGTCCCAATAGGCCAATATATGATTCTTTGAGCATTGGCTCGTACCAATCAATAATGTTGCATAATATACATACAATATTTGTCAACCGCATTCCTTAAAAATTAAGAACTTCCTTTTTGAGCAAACACAATCTAGGTAAAAACTTTATAATTTTGGCCAGGACCTTATAAAAAATTTTATCCGTCATTTTTGTAAAAACTCCTTTCACGGATTCGTTCACGGATTCGTTCAGAATAATTCGATAAATTTCGTTATGTAAGATTACTAATTCCGGAAATATGAGCCTTTTACGGAAAAAAAGATGGAATATAAAAAAAAACGAATCGACTTTTTTTACAAGGAGAATGTTATTATTAATTTTTAATATTTACTAGTAATTCACTACACACAAAGTCACTCTATACAATAAAATTGTTTATTTTCTATTATTATTTTTTTGTTTTTTTATTAAATTACCGTATTCACCCGAAATAAGCACTACCAAAAATAGTCAAATTAAATTGATAATTGGCTGGTTTTTTACCATACAACGTTAACTTAATATTATTTAATATTTGGAACAATGCAAAATATACTAAATTTTCAATAAATATACTTTATAAGTTAATTATAGTGATTATCCTAAATTTTACTTGAAAAAATAAATTATTCGGTGAAATAAAAAATTTTTAGCGAATTCAGTGGACCATCTGATTAATAAAAATAACTTCAATGGATTATTCCATAATAGTTAATAGATGCCTACGTAATACAATTTCAAAAAATCTTCCATATGATCGGTAGGTGATCTTTTTTTTTGCGAATTGCAATAGTAAAGATACTAATAAATTTTTATAATTTCAATAAAAATTAATGTTGCGCCAAACAAATCTGCAAGGTATTATACTAGTTTAATAGAATAATTTTCCCAGTACATATTACCCAGAAGAACCTGACATCGTACGGAGGAACATGAGAAAGCTCTTAAACGAATGAAAAATTATTATTTAAAGTGGGAAATTATGAATTGAATTTGTATAAGAAAATAATACTTACTATTCACAATACTTGTAAGTCTGCAGTGTTAACGGAACTTTATGACCTCCCATGATTATTCAACAATTTTAAATGCAAGGAAGAAGCAAAAATGAAAAATTATGAGTTAAAGACATACTTTGAAATTTGGTTAAATAAGGAAGAATTTACAAGTTAGTTTATCGTATTGTAGATATGCAGAATTTGATCTAACCTATTTTCTAATGAAATTATAAAAGGTTAATATAGATTTAATCTTAAAAATATGATTATAAACTTCTATTTTGTCATAAGTAAGAATCTAACATTTGATGATACTCATATTTTAAAATGCATTATCAAATATTTAAAAAAACCAAACCAATAAGTAAAAAATAATTTTAACAAAGTTCTATATATTGTTACAATAATTTTGTTCATGTTACATTAAAGGACTATACGAGATAAATCAATTATAAACCATTTTTTTTGCTAAAGTCAAAACCAGTTTGATTTTGAAAATAAAAATAAAAAATTTACCAACATAATATATTATAACTGATAATACATTAATATAATTAAATATAGCCTCATCAGGAAGCCACATCTGTAGCTTAGTTGTTACTATTTTTATAGTTATGTAACATTTATCTCATGCGTGTTTTTTAATAAAAAATAATCTAAATACCTTTAAAACAAATTCACAATTCTTTATTTTATATATACTGAACTTTTTTAACAATAGGTAATATTTTTTCTTAATATTAGTTTCTTTAATGAAATACATCAATCAATCAATCATAATATCTGTCATTATGATCAGTATTGTCAGTATTACTAATAAATGTGGTAGATAAATATCATAAATATTTTACTCTCACTTCCTCTCTCATACTTTTAAACTCTTATCTTATACTGGCTCTTTTACTTATATATTCTATACTCTTATTCTGTTTAAAAAAAACAAAATACCTTATCAACTTTATATTTAAGAAGTTTTAAAATTTTTAGAGAATGATAAAAATACTTTATATATAAGTATTACTTATCTCCTGGCTAATTAGGAATAAGTAAAATTTTACTAGGATTGGATAAATGATCGGCCGAAGGCTGATCATGTTCCGATTCTAAGTAAAATTTTACTATTCCAATTAGCCAGGAGATAATTGATTTATCCCCTGCCATTTACACAATAGTAAGTGTTTTATAGTATATCGTGAGTTTAATATAGTTTATTTTATTGTTGTATCTTATTTTTCTTTCGCTTGGTTTTTTTTTTCATTTTAAAAGATTTTAAAAAATAATTGAATTTTAAAAAGCTTCGAAAAATAATATTGAGATTACAAATAAATTAAAAGAAAGTTTTTCTCATTTGGAAAATGCAAATCTTTCCAAATTACTCAAATTTTCAAATCAGTCCATTATAGTATAATCAATAGTTAATTTTTACCGCAAAATTTCCTAGAAACGGATAAATAAATACATATAAAATTTGCTATCCAGTAGGTATAACTACATTTGCATAATCGTATAAATGGTGCCGATCAGGGGATAATAGTTATTATGCAGACGTCCAAGATCATGTTCCATATGAAAAGCATAGTAAATGTGTGATAATAATCTATATGACGTAATGCGTCAAAAATATCAAAGATATTTACGCAATAATAGTTTATCTAAAAAATATCAGTATGTAAAACAACATGATCCCTATTTGGCTGTATAATAATCATGTTTATTTGTTAATTTGTTAACTATTTTTTTTTTGAAGTTACATTAAAGTTTTATAGAGAAATATTAAGAATTTCAAACTTCGATCAGATGCATCATCACAAATTTTGAGGATTGTCTTTCTATAAATAAAAGTGCCTTTTATACAAGAGGGAATTATTATTCCAACTCCGACTTCAAAACCTCCATTATTTGAATTTGTAAATCACTTTCAATTGGTGATATTAGTAGAATGATAATATTTTATTTTAAAAATCAACAATAAACAAAAATCATGAATAATAAAAATAAAAAGTTGGTAATAAAAGAATATAAAAAATGTATATAAATAAGATCAATAATTTAAAGAGATTAGATTATAGTTTTGAAAGAGATACTTATAATAATAAAACAATAAAACAAAAATTCCGAAAAATATTAAAAAATCTTACAAAATTAAGTTGCGCAAGTGATATACAATCAAAATTTTTTCATCAATTATCAAAAATATGTAATCATTACATATTTATTATCAAGAATATGTCAGTTATAAGAAGGAAAGTGAATTAATGGAATTATTATAATATATTCACAAAATTGTTTAAAAAAATTAGTTATGATACATACATATTGGAAAGGGGGAATTTATAATGAAAAACCAATTATCATTTATTACTAAATTAATAAATTTACAAGAATTCTTTTTATCATTTGATTACAGTAAAGATTATATCATTATAATGAATTAAAATATGCTATTTTTCCAAATTAAGAAGTTTAAGAATTTATTATGAAGATTTATTTGAAACATTAATTTTATTTTTAGAAAAGAATGGAAAGAATTTAGAATGTCTTAAATGTTACATTATTAAATATAACTATAGCAAAATTTCGTTCAGAAGTAAAATATTTATATGCTAAATTTATAAAGTAGAGGAATTAAAAGAAATTTTAAATAAATTGTAAGTAATTAGAAAAGCTTAAAGTTATGTGTAATAATTATTTTTACTTGAAAGTAGGTGTAGTATTGGAAATTATTTCTAATTTTTCACCAAAAAATTTTCATGAATTGTATATAAAAGAATTTGAAAAAAATTAGGTGAAATCAAATATCTTTCCGGAGGAATTGGAATCTTTTTTTTATTATTTGGAAAGACTTCGCAATATTTATTATTGAAATTAATTTAAAAAGTTTACTTGCTACTGTTACGATGAAAAACAATGTGACGAAGTCACGTGATATAACCGTTGATCAATGGTAATTTCCGGGACGATTAATTATTGTTGGATGATCAACGTCATATAACATAATGGTGTAGTTAGCCGAAAAATTCAGCCGAAAATAGTTAGATGTTGAACCAATAAAATATTCAAGATCAACATGAATTTTTTTCGGCTGGGTGTTGTTAGCCGAAAATTTACTGCGCCTTCGGCTGAATTTTTCGGCTAACTACACCATTATACGTTCGAGCATGATTGACACGATCAATTTCATTTTATAAACTGAAATAAGCACAAACCGTCCATTTTTTTTTTTGGTGATTGACTTTCAATTCAGAATATTATATGTAATTTCATCAATTTGTGTTGGTCATTTCAGTCAAAATTAAATACATAATTCCGGAAAATCGGCAAAATATGTGCCGAAAGCTAGGAACACAGAAACGGGAAATTCCTATTTCGTACAACTGAGACGTTGGTCAACGTTTCACATTACTAACTAATAAATTTAAATAATGAATACTAAAATTTGAAAGAAAATGTCTTTTGAATACTCTCAAGAAATTTGTAGTGATTATGAAAAATTACTTGAAACTGAAAAAGGGCATGATGTCATTATATATGCTGGTGAAGATGAAAATATGAATGAAATTCATGCACACTCACTCATCTTATGTACTAGGTCACAATATTTTTTTGCGGCATTATATAATGATTGGGTCGAAAAGAAGAATGGAATTTTCATATTTAAAAAACCTAACATTTCTCCTCGACTATTCAAAATTATTCTAAGGTAATGAAATGAACAATTACACAAAAATGTTTTGATGTATTAAATGCGAAGTAATTTATCATTTTTTTTCATTTAGATTTATTTATTGTGGAAAAATTGATTTAACAAATTTGCAAGGTCCCGAGACATTGGAATTATTAATTGCAGTAGATGAATTTAACATTCAAACATTGGTTACTTGTGTTCAAAAGCATTTAATAAATGATAAAGAGTTCTTACAAAAGAATTTTATGGAAATTCTTCAAATGGTTTATCATAATGAGTTATTCACAGACTTATTGAATTATTGTCTTGAAGAAATTGATATGATATTTAATTCCGATAAAATTATTAATTTAGAAGAACCTCTATTAGAATTTCTTTTAAAACGAGATGACTTAATTTTAGATGAGATTGAAATTTGGGATGGTTTAATTAAATGGGGTTTTGCACAAGGACAAGGACTTAATCAAGACGTATCTGAATGGAATAAAGATCATATTAATATTTTTAAAAGGGTTCTTAATAAATTTATTCCTTTGATTAGATTTTATGGGATGTCTTCCGAAGACTATTATAATAAAGTTAAACCCTATGAAGAGATTTTATCTAAAGAATTACGAGAGAATATGATAAAATTTCACTTAGATCCTGAATATGAACCAACATCCAACCTTTTACCAAGACGTTTTATTGATTCTATTCTAATTAATCGAAGACACATCGCGCTTTTCACAAATTGGATTGAAAAGAGAGATAATGACACCAAGTATAAAAATATTTCTTATAAATTTAATCTTTTATATAGAGCAAGTAGAGACGGTAATACAGCTGCAGCATTTCATGCTAAATGTGATGACAAAGGGCCTACTATAGTTGTAGTAAAAATTATAAATTCAGAACAAATAGTCGGAGGGTATAGCCCAATTTTTTGGGATTTAAGTAATAATTATAAGACTACAAGTGAGAGTTTTTTATTCTCTTTTACAAATAAGAATGATCTTCAAACTGCAAAAGTAGCCTATAGTACAGGTAGTCGATATTCTCTATATAGTAGTCCGGTACATGGTCCATCGTTTGGTAGTGATTTATACATAAATTATGATAATAATTCTGATTTTTGGTATAGTACCAGTACAATCTGCTACCCTGGACTCGATTTACCAAAAAGCATGAATGTAGTTGATTATGAAGTATTTCAGGTTGTTAAAAAATACTGATCGTTTGTATCGTATTTATTATTGTATTCATTAAGTTAATAAACTAAGTTTCGGATCATTTAATAATAAAGTGAATAAAAATTTACAAAGAAAGGTATTATAGTTTTTTTTTGTATTGATTAACACAAATTGAGAATTCTATTAGTATTTATTTTATAACTTTGTTATGAAAAATTTTTATTTAAGAATTTGAAAGATTGATCTGTAAATTTAGGTGTATACATTATTTAGCGAATTAGCGTAAGAGCTTATATTTCGGTAAAATAAATTTGCAAATTATGTTTGTGTGTGTATAAGCATGTGAATTCAACAAAGGCTAGGCATATTTTAACTTTATTTATTTATATTTGGCACAAATTTTAATTTGTAATACATAACAAACTTCTCTACCAAATTTATTTGATTTATTTTTTACTCTTTAAAAAATTTGTTCTCAATCGCTTTCTAATACAATGCATTAATCAAAATAATAACTAAAATATTTGCATCAAAATGTGCAAAGCGTAAAGCATAGGACACACCCCAAACCAGAATTTCTGTCTGTCCACACGCGTGTAAATACCAATCAAATTTCAGATTTTGTGTAACTATTTTTTGTGTTTTTTGTTATGTGATTTAATTGTCCAAAGCTTCAAGCTTCAAGTACACAGGCACGCCGCGTATATGGTCAATGAAATTTTAGAGTTTTATTTGATGATCTGTCATCTGTGATTATACCGCTTTGAATGCCCAATGGTTCCTGTTACCTAGTTATTATTATTTCAATAGTTGAAGCATTAAAAACTCTTGTCCGATTCTTGTTAATTTAATATCTTCAAATTTTGATCGTAAAAATTTTATTTACATCGAGCTTTTCCTTGTTTTGATAGCACGTTAGCACGTTAATCATGTCTTCTTTGCAGAAACCTTCAATTTTCATAAATATGATAAACATATAATTGTTAGATAGCAGTCATATTTTCGATATATAATAAAAATATTTTAGTACATGTTATATGATCAACAGATGTATAAAACATGTTCGTAATTTCCTTGATTATGCTATTAGATAACAGACATATTTTCAATATATAATAATAATATTTTAATACACGTTATATAATTATGAGATGATCAACAGATGTATAAAACATGTTCGTAATTTTCTTGATTTACGCCATTAGATAACAGTCATATTTTCGATATATAATAATAATATTTTATAATTACTAGGTGTAACCCATCACGTTGTGGCGGGAATGATACTTGCTCATCAAGTAAGAGAGTAATAAAGAGAAGTAATGATAACACACGTCTCCCATCACTCCTCTTCATCTTCTCATCACTTCTTTACGTCTCCCATCGCTCCTTTTCGTATCCCATCACTCCTCTTCATCTTCTTATCACTTCTTTATGTCTCCTATCGCTCCTTTTCGTATCCTATCACTCCTTTTCGTCTCCCATCACTCCTTTTCGCTTCTTTTCGTCTCC